TGGGTTAAAAATACACACTCCTCTGTTACTGGGGGGTCTGTCCTTGCTGAGAGAAAAAAATGCATGGAAGAATTCATCCATGTTTGTGTGTTTACTGTACTAATGGAATGTTGCCAGGAACTAGGGCCGTTAAAGGTGTAACTTAACATGACATGCACTGCAGCCTACAAAAGTATGTCATCCCTGCAACACTCTATTTGCAAAGCCTCATGTTGTTCCAAGCTTGTATAAATGCCAAAAAATATATATTTTGAAGAACATTGGAGACCCTTAACTTTCATTGTATGGACAAAGACACTAAGACATGTTTCAAAACGCCTCAATTTTGTTGCACAGAAGAAAGTCATACAAGTTTGTAATGACATGAGGGAGATTAGCCTAAATGATAACCGAAGTTTCATTTTGGGGTTTACTATCTCTTTTACTTGTCTTTTCCTCTGTAATCAGTTGAGGGTCATTTTTGATCTGCTTCATGCATTTGGGGTTCCAAGTCCAAGCAGCTATTTCTTAGATTGTTATCAACAACATTACGTCCAGGCTGCTGTTGATGCCTGCTGTACGGAGGAGACGGAAAGTTTTTTTTTCAGCCTCCACACTGGGGTGATGACTGGGGGTGGCAGGATTTCCCCTACTTAAGAGCCAAAGCGAGAGCACTAACCTATGTGTGGGTTAAAAATACACACTCCTCTGTTACTGGGGGGTCTGTCCTTGCTGAGAGAAAAAAATGCATGGAAGAATTCATCCATGTTTGTGTGTTTACTGTACTAATGGAATGTTGCCAGGAACTAGGGCTGGGCATTCCATCAGATATTCACAATATAATTATACAACAGTTAGCAGCATCATGAATATCATTATTAATATGCTTCTTCATGCAATTTCTTTTTATTTCAGGTTTTTTTTTTATTGTAAACTTACAAGTGTGGTAGTGTTATGATGGATGTTTTAATAGTGCCTCTTTTTTAAATGACAAAACATCCAAACTCCATTACAGACTTGGTTCATTTCAATGGTTCAAACTGTCGGGTCTTCATAATATGATACATGATCTTTGTGTTATCTTTATCATCAGTAACCTTCAAAGGTTACAGTGCATTCAAACCACTGGTGTAATTTTCATGTGCTGTGGTTGTGCATTTTTTTTTAATGTGGCCTGTTGTCCCCTCTGCCCTTTTCTGACAGATTTGTAGGGCCTAATGCTATTTTTAGGAGAGGGGTATGCGTGCATGCCCTGTCCCTCCTGGTTTCCTCCTGCACTAAATAGTAGAGCTAAAAAAAATCACTCCGACAAAGTGGCGGTAGGTGTAGCTGGGGGCCTTGTGTCATTACTTCCTGTGGTCAGACGTGTAGACAATGTGTCCTCCTTTGCTGCAGAGGTTGGTGGGATTTTTTTTTAGGCGATGGCTGATCAGAGATTGTAAAGAGGAAAGGACAACAAGCTTTGAGCAATGTCAACTCAACAAATGTTATCAGTCCTGCATTAGCACTTCTTTTAAGCAGTCATAATGACCTACATGTTGAACCGTATTTGATTTGTAGAACAATTACTGAAACACTGAAAGGAAACATGACCTTTGCTCTTTTTCAGATCAGATTGTGCTGTTGATAATGGCGTTTAACTGCATCTCACGCTCATAGCGGTGGAGTGGGATACTGGTGTTTAATGATTGCTTTCATGCGCTGCCTCCAGGCACAGAACTTGTTTGATGGCTGTAACAGGGTGCTAGTTGCTACTGTCCAGACTGGACTCTCGCAGGGCGTCAAAAGGCAGGAAATTGCTTCACTGACTTCAGCACATAGTATAATAATAGAAGCTCATGGATGTCGGATGTAGTGTGAACGTGATTTTATCTCAGCGCTCTTTTGATCACCTGCATTTAATGCTTTGATTTGTATGGATGACCTGCATCAACCAGATGAATGATGTGAAGTTCAATAGCACACACATGTTGTCAAGTTGCATGTCTCTTCTCCACCTGACGTTTACTCAATCATCATTTATACCATGTTAAAATACTCGCACTGAGCAACAAGGAGACCAGACTTGAGTTTCTTTTATACAGTATGTGGTACAGGCCTAGTGGTACAGTTTGCAATGAATTGAGATAGGTGGAGTTTTTCAATGGCTGATACTGATAATAGAGGGGACAGTGGCCAATGTAATAGATAATAATGACATGCACTACCAGTCAAACGTTTGGAAACCCTTGACTGAATTAAGTTATCATTATCTTTAAGACTTTCTGATTTAAAGGTTTAGGTTTAAAATAGGGCTGCACGATAAATCGCATGCGCAAATCGCACAGAGCCGTTGTTCACTGACGAGCTGCGCAAAACCACGTTCATATTCACGCAGCTCGTCAGTAAACAACGGCTCTGTGTAGTTAATGCTGCTCAATGTGAAAGCACGCACGTGATGGAGATTTACCGCTGATTACAGAACCGGCTTTACTGACAATATGCGTGTTAAATATCGCATGCGATTTATCGTGCAGCAGCGCGCGCCTCATGAGTCCACGCTCAGAAAAAGCGCATGCAGAACAGCATGTCAATTAAATGTTTAACCGTTATTGCTTTAAAGCAGATGGAAATAATGTAGTTTTGTGATTGCGCATAAGTGTCGCACTGTACAGCCCTGTAAGACCTTCGTTTATCTTCGGAACACAAATTAAGATATTTTTGATGAAATCAGAGCTTTCTGACCCTGCATAGACAACAATGTAACTGACACGTTCAAGGCCCAGAAAGGTAGTAAGGACATTGTTAAAATGGTCCATGTGACATCAGTGGTTCAACCATAATGTTATGAAGCTACAAGAATGCTTTTTGTGTGCAAAGAAAACAAAAATAACTACTTTATTCAACATTTTTTTCTCTTCCATGGCTGTCTACGACACGCGTTCACAAGAGTACCACGACGCATGCGTGTGGTGTTTCTGACGTAGAACCCGGAATTACAAGCAGACGGATGCACACGTATGCATCGTGGTACTCTTGTGAATGTGCATTTATTTATCCCATTAAATGGTTGAAATAATTTTGTAGCCAAACTTTGTAGTTTTGTGGTCATTTTATGTCAGTAAATAAGATAAGTAAACAAAATTGCTGTAAAACAAACACTTGTTTTACCAGTGTTTACCCCATGATCCCAATACACATTATCCATTTAAAAGGCTGTTGGTAGATCTTGGAATTAATTCACTTCTCTTAATCAGCCAGGCGGGCTCAGTAATGATCTAATGCCAATATATTTGTCTTTGATGTAGAAAACTTGCTTAATTTTCTTTGTCTCTATGCTTTTTATAAATCTGTATGTCAAGGTTTATTCATAATCTTCAGAGGAGTCAATAATGCACATGGTAAATCTCAGCAGAGATTGTCGACTTTAATATTCACAGCTTTGACCTTCTGTGCTAAATCTTTTGCTCTGGAAATGTACTACCCAATCCCAAAATCTGGCATATGACAGGGAGTCCTGCTCACCAGCTGTATGTTTCTTTTTAACGTGACACAAGGGCATATCGTTTTTACAGTGGCTTGGTTATTTGAATGTAAAACCTGTTTGTAATGTTTCTGATTCAGCTTGTCGCATTGAAAACCTTTTTAGTTATCAGCATTGAAAGGATCAGACTCGGAATGAATTTTCTTCTTTAACTTTCTCATTGGTTCATTGGTTGCTCTTGAGTTCATTGGGCTTTTGTACAGATGTGGGTGTACTGATGTGGCGCCGACATGCTATTGACTGTAAATTTTAAAAAAAAGGATATGATTATCAACCTCTTCATGTAATCAAGATTAAAATGACATCCATTGTAACCACGTCTCCTTTTGTACAATACTTTTGATCTTCACACCGTCAAATTGCTGTTATGTTGGATATCACAGCTGTGATTCATCATGAACATAGACAAGAGCAATATATAAGAGCATATCAGACCAATCAGAACTAAACATTTTGTTATCCAGAATGTTTTTTCCCTCTATTGCACAACAGATTGCAGGGAAATCCCTTAAAGGGGTCCTATTATGCTTTTTCACTTTTTCAACTTTAGTTAGTCTGTAATGTTGCTGTTTGAGCACACACACGATGCGCAAAGCTCCACATTTGAACAGTCAATAGCAAATACTTAAACTAATAACAAAACAGTAGCTGATTCAGAAGCGCCAGATTGTCATAGCAAAGTCAGAATTACCTCCTCTCCTAGGTTCACGAAACAGTCGTCCATAAAATGCATTGCTGTTCTGTTGTAAGTAATCTTAAAGATTCCTAAATGCATCTACTTTCGGAAGGCCAAATAAAGTGCTTTTGCCTTCGCCTAGAAACACACAGCGTCTCCCTGACATGGCTGCTTCAACACTAACTGCGGTTACTGAAACCACGCCTTCTTTCTTTGCGTGCACATTTGGGCGGCATTATGCAAATATTTCCACATAGTGAGGTAGATATGTGGGGGCGTGTTAGAACAAGTCGTTTTAGGGGGGCGTGGCAGAGTCTTAACTTTGATAAAGAATATCTCTTTGGTTTTGAGACTTTAGTCTTTGCAACTTCAGGGATCTTATCTATGCACAATCAGCTTGTAACACTCCAAAGAGAAAGGAAAACTTGAAATCGCATCATATGACCCCTTTAAAATAGTTATCTTTATCACTACCCTGAATTTATACTTGTAGCTCTACAGAAGCCGTATAACGTACATTCTCTCTACCTGACTCTAACGAACCAGATTCACAGACAAAGACTTTTTTTTTGTTCTTTTTTTTTTTTTCTTTTTTTTGTTCTTTGAAGCTTCCACTTTCATGAAGCGGTTGGTGTTGCTCCAATCACAGAGTGGGGCCACTAAATGGGCAGCTCATGCGCTTATTGGATAGTGAGGCAAAGTGTTTCTGCGCACACATATATCTGACACCTATTTCCTCCCAGAAACCCTAGCAGCAACCCAGAATCCAGGAAGTGGTGGCTCACCAGTGGATGTCTTGCTCTTTCGCTGAGAGACATTTGCTCAGCATGTTTCTTCAAGGAGATCTCGGGGACAGTGTTATCCGCTATGTCAGGCATCAAATTTAGAGTATTATGCTCTGATAACTTTGTTAGATCCAGCCTAGCTCATCGAGATGAGACTATGATGCAATTGTTAGCATTTGCAATGGACTGAAATTGATTTTGGCTTCCTGCTTCTTGATATTGTTAAGCTTTTTTAGCTTTTCTCTCCTCGTCAACCATGAGTTTACCACGGAAGGCCACATTGGAGGAGCAAACGGGGTCAAACAGGAATCCATCACGCTGTTCGTCTGGCAGAGAGAGTGCTCGTCGCTGGCGTCTCCTCAGCAGGCCTTGGCTAAAGCACCGTTCAAATTCAGCCCCTGAGGAGCCCTTGGACACACATGACCGAAGGAACCTGGCTGGACAGGACATACGCACACAGAGCTTGACATGGTCCAGAAGCAGCAGCAGTATGGCTCGATCCAATCCTCCAATCTCCAGGGTCCACAGTCTCCCAGACCCCCAGAGGGTCACCAACTGCGGTGTCCTCCTGGAGCATCCTAATCTTCAGAGGGACTGGTTATCTCGCAGCTCGACCCCTTTTTTAAGATCTACATCTGAACTGGGGAGTGAAATTCGTACTGAGACTCCACCGCTCAGACGGGGGCTGAGCTCTCAAATGTTTTCAGGGATTCTGCTGTCCATGTCAAGACGAATTAGCCAAATTTTAAATACCTCACCTGAGCCGGCTGTTGGAGAACTTTCAGAAGACGGTAGGAAATTCGATTAATGTTTGAAGGCACAACTGCTCTACCACTTAGACTAGATTTTGTTAAAAACTTGTTTTTCTTTGTCCAAAATGGTTTTAATATTACACCAGTGTAAGTTTTCTTACTTGAGGGGTTGGTTCACTAAAAATGTAAATTCTGTCATTGTTTACTTAACCCTGTTGTTGTTCCAAACTATGTGACTTTCTTCTGCGGAACACCAAATATGATATTTTGAAGTATGACGACAACCAAACAGTTTTGGCTACTATTTTGTATGGACAATAGAAACACGGAGACATTTCTCAAAACATCTTCTTTAATGTTGCACAGAAGAAAGTAAGTCATACAAGTTTGGAAAGATATGAGAACTGTTGCCAAATTTGCATGGCATGGGTGGCACAGAAGTGCTTCTGAAGTTTACGTCTTTACAGTTTAATGTCTTAAATGCACTTACACACCAATTACATCTGATTCCTAGGGGCTGAAGTGGGTCTGAGCAGGCATTATTTATTCTGGCTTTATTGCAGCATTCCATCTTTACACTGAATTTTGAGCAGGCACAGAGCAGCCTTAACTTAGCTCTGTAAAGACGCCTTAGGGTGAGAAAATGATGAATTTGCGCTTAAAGGGATAGTTCAACCAAAAATGAAGTCTCCACAATGATTTGTTTAACATTTGGTTCAGTTGTTGGGTTGGTTGAGCACTGACTTTGTCAGATGTGTAGCTGCCATCCCATGTACTGTAAGTAATGGTTTGACTAACTTTAGAATGATACAACACAATGAGGCGTTCATGGGTTTGAGCCAGTCATATTGAGTTGCGTATACATCAGTTAAGGTGATATTACACTGACTTTTTGAGTAACAGGATGGTTTATATTTTAGCCTGTGGATTTTGGTTACTAACAGCGATATGAAAGTTATATATCTTTGAATCATTACATGAAAAAATGGCATATTTTTAAACACATTTTACACATTTTATAGTATTGTATTGTTAAAATTTCCTTGAAACCTTGAAAAAAATGATCAAATTGCAAGCTTTGTTATTGCCGACCTCTCCATTGACCCCATTAGCATTTGCATGTGAAATGGAAATACATTGAATACTGCATCTCACTATCTGAGTAAACACCTTTTCCTCTTTTAGATTCACTTCCCCCTTCCTGCTTTCCAACTTATCGCTGAACACTTCCCATTACTATTAGCATAAATGCTAATTAGCTAGCACGGAAAGGCAAATGCATAAATTTGATACAGTGGTAAACCGAGCAAAAGCATTCCCTTTGAGCTCACAGCCTCCTCACTTGCTCTAATAAAGTAATTATTGCTTTCGGCTCCTCTGGGTTCAACACTATTCAACCGAGTTTGGAAGTGTGAATGCAGATCCCTGGGTTGGCTTGGAGTTTGTGTCAACAAACCTCAGGGTGACAGCAGGAGTTTGACCCCCTCCTAAGTCCAACTTTTTCCTCCATTCCTTTAGAAATGTAGGAGGCAGCTCACTCACCTCTTTTTGTATGCTAATACGTGTTCCTGCAAGGGTACAAACAAAGACCCTGGGCTCGCCACTTTTTAGCCTTATTACCCTTTGAAAAGCTGGGGCAGAGGTGGTCTGCAAAAGTCATGAGAAAGCACCCTGTGGAAGGCAGAACTGTACCTTCAATAAAGCCAATTTCCGTGTTAAAGCAGAATGTACTATTTAGGTCTTTCTGACACATTAGTAAGCACAGTTTCCTCATTTAGGTCTTCTCGTCATGGGCTGGTTGCTCCAGGAATGCCCCAGCATGACAGAAACACAGTGGGTGGGGAGAGCAGCTAGTCTTAGACCTGCAGCTGAAAATGGGGCGCTGCTGAATTTGCAGTCCCAATGTCGTGCTTTAACTTTGTTCTGTCGAGCAGATATTCCCACAAGAGTTGGTACACAAACCTTTGTCCTTGTGCATTAACAGCAAGAGCGAGCAGGAACAGTAAAGACACTTAATCCTTTAGGATGGAAAGTGCTGCCAATGAAGAATCATAGGCCGAGACTGTCAATTTATTAATTTATTTTATTATTTATTTATTTATTACACTTTTTTACAATTTTGTTGGGTCTTGAACAATGCCAAGAAACAACTGTTCAGAGTAAAAGGAATGTTTTTTTATTTTTAACATGTTTATTCAAGTGAAAAAAGATGGAAAAATATCAAACTTTCGTTTTCAAAACAACCGTATTATTATTGTTGTTATTATTATTTAATTTTTTTCTATTAAATGTATTAGTATATAATAATAATAATAATAATAATAATAGTAAATATTTAATCAGTGCTATTTAGTTAGTTAATAATAAAAATAATAATAATGGCTTTGTTGTCTAATTAGTTGTTGTTGTTAAAACAGTACGACAGGATCATAAAACAATAGTGGTTTTAGGTTTGAAGCATATACACAGGAGTTAATGCAGGAGTGGGGGATAAAAGGAAAGATATGCAAATGTTCCAGGCATGCTGACGGCAGCTTATTTAAATATGTAACAAAGTCTGTCAGCGGCGGATTGTCGTTCTTGTGACTTGAACAAAAGAGCATGCGCTTAGTGCCCTGCCTCTTGCACGGTCACGTCTGTAACAATGGAGGAAAGGAATACCAGCACTGCGAATTATTTAACATGACAGATGTCAGACTGTGAGAAATGCATGACCTCCTTGTGCGACAATAACGTTTGATGAGTGTTAAAAAAATGCGTAGCCATGAGCTAATTGCACACAAATATAAAGAAGTGAAATTGATTTTCCTCACCACTGTTTTTTTTTTTTTTAACATTGCTTTCAGTCTTGATAAATTTCAATTTAAACATTGACTGAATTGCACAATAATGTAAGTGATTCCAATACAAATGAAGTCGAAATTGTATTATTACGTTCAGTTTATTGGGTCTATAGTGTCCTAACAGTGCCTGCCTGTGTAACTCATCCCTCAACAGTATGCATGTATTTAGAGGGGCTCAGCTGGGCAGAGGGCATGTTTTGTGGGCGTAGTATCTTTCTGAGCAGTGTGGTGTTTTAGCTTCTACAGGGAGTTACAACTGACTGAACAAATCCAGCCTTTGCGATTTTAGGAGGAAGATGTTTGAGTGTGCAGATTAAAGGGCAAAGAGACGATGGTGTGTCGTCTCGGAGCTGCTTCGCTAGAGTGGCACGATGGTAAAAGGCTTGTGACGCTGATGATGTGAATTATGAATGACACGAAGCACTCTCCTGTCACTTCGATGGCACAGACCCACTAGCCTTATTCTGCTGTTCGCAAGCATTTTGTGTAATTTTGCTTTAGAGATATGACCTGAAAGGGCACCTTTTATATTTCTAAACGCAGTTAATGATCATTTAAAGAAAAGGGGAATCCATTTAACAGCAGGTGTTTTTTGGGTGAGTTTGACTGGCCTGGATTTCAAAATTATATGAATGCTTACATTTTTGGCGATTTTTGTTTATATTATATTATATTATATTATTATTTAGTGCTGTCAAACGATTAATCGCATCCAAAATTATACCCTAATTTATATTATATATAAATATATTTAATATATAAACATTACATATTTTTCTTAAATGTATACATGCATGTGTTTGTATTTATATATACATAATAAATATACACAGTACACACACATATTATTTGAACAAAAACTTTTATTTTGGATGCGATTAATCGTGATTAATCGTTTGACAGCACTTATATATATATATAGTTTACTACTCACAGTTTTCTTTTCATTTAGTCCATCAGGAGCTGCTACCACCTAATAAAGGCCTTGAATAAATTTTTGAAATAAACAAAAAACATTTGAATTAATTTCTATATCATTTAGATTTTATATTTTTTATTTATTTATTTATTGCATTTTATATCTGTGTTTGTGTGTGTGCGCAATATATACAGAAGTAAAATATAATATTATTTCATATTAAATTCTAAATGTTATATGTTCCATATTAAATTAATCTACAATTAAAATATACATAATATTATAAATATTCTAACATATTCAAACATTTTGTGTAATTTATATTTATTTGTTTTTTGTTGTTGTTGTTTTTTGTTTGTTGCTTTTTTGTAATATATATGAAGTTATATTTTTTATTTTATCTTTGATTCTATTTAAAGTTTTGGCTGGGCAAACAGCTACTATAGTTCTGGTGCTAATGTATGAACACTACTCAGGTTTGCAAACAGTGTGACAGCAGCAGCATCTCTGCTCTGTTTTCTCCTGCAGTCCTGTGAGTTTCTCAGCAGCTCCGCGGAGCTCCATCCAGCGGTCAGCGCCGCTACTCGACCCGGATTCTCCAGCCTCGGGGCCCGACTGGAGCTGGAGCCCGACCCCGACATCCACCGACGCTTCTCCCTGCAGGAGCCACACACGTCACTGAGCTCACAAACGCCACAGAAACACGGCTCAGACCCCAGGAGCTAGAGAGACCACAACAAACCAGACCAAAACCTGGCTCTGGTTTTGCACTGTGGAGGTTCAGAGGTTCACTGGAGGCGGTTTTACTCGTCTTTACTGCTGTCGTCCAGTATTGGATATCCCTAAACAAATAATGATGATTCTTTGACAGCACTTATATTATATGGGATGCACTAATACTATTAATATTCTTTTAAAATATAATACTAAAAAATAAAATCAGTAGTTAAAATGCTATAATTAAATTTTGCCATGTTATTATAATGTACAGTATGAAAAATTTTATATATTTTGCAAATTAGTGTTTAAACATTAACATTAAAGGAATAGTTTTTTAAAAATTTACTCACCCTCAGGCCAACCAAGATGTAGATGAGTTTTTCTTGAACAAACAGAAATAAATTTAACATTGCATAATGGATCCATTGCTGTAATTGGGTGCCATCAGAATAAGAGATCACACAGCTGATAAATTATTGTTGTGATTATTTTACTATACTGATTGTTGTTTATTGTTGTGAATTATTGTGATGCTTTTATCAGCTGTTTGGACTCTT